CCAGAGCTGATAAAGCTTCTCTCTAATCTCCAAATCAGCTTCCACGACCTCCGGGCCTCGGAGAGAGTCTGTTACAGCAAAAATGTTTGCTGTCGTTACTTCTTAGCACAGTGACTCTCTCTTTTCTTTAAAATGTCAGGTCCAACACTCACGGGGAAGTGGGCATAATCATTTCTAAATAGGAATGAGGCACGCATCAGCCTGAGCTGGTAAAGCTTCCCACTAATCTCCACATCAGCTTCCACGACCTCCGGGCCTCGGAGAGAGTCTGTTACAGCAAAAATGTTTGCTGTCGTTACTTCTTAGCACAGTGACTCTCTCTTTTCTTTAAAATGTCAGGTCCAACACTCACGGGGAAGTGGGCATAATCATTTCTAAATAGGAATGAGGCACGCATGAATTGGGACGAAATCATCTCTGAACCCAGTTGTGCTATTAAATCAACTGTTTACCCACCACGTTTTTTCATTGATTTTGCTAATAACGAACAGTTTATTTCAGTCCAATATTTTTGGAAGGTCTACCATGTGTCAGGCATGGGCAACGACACCAAGACAACCAAACAGAGCCATTGTTCCCCTTCGGAGAGTTTGTGGGGTTCGGGAGAGACAGGAATGTAAACTCTGACCCTGTGTTAAGTGCCTTATAGAGGTGTGTGAGTAAGAGAAGCAGTTAACCAGGTAAGTTGTAAGAAGGCTTCCCGATGAAGACTGAGCCTTCTTTGTAAGACTCATTCTTAGAGGAATGAGCAGGAACCAGCCAAGTGGCAGGGGAATAGGGAGGGAGGCCAGAACGATCGAAACCCTTAGCGCAGCGAGCCAGACAATGCGGCTCAGCTCCGGGGAGGCCGGGGTTCTGGCAGCAGAACTGGAAGAAATGAACGGACCAGGCCCCGCCCTGCGCGGAGGAGTTAGCCTGACATTCCCGGAGGGTCCCGGAGTCATCGACCGGTTCTACACAGGGAGTAACAAGAACAAGTCTGTGTTTTTAAAAGGTCAGTCTGGCTCCAGGGTAGGAAAGGGCGAGGCGGGAGGGAGGAATCGGAGCTGATTCGACAACCGAGTATGAGACGGTGGGCCCCGACCTAAGGAGCTGCGGTGGAGACAGAGACAAGTTGGGCATCCCCGAGGGACAGGAGGGTGACAAGGTGGACTCGGGGGCCGTTTTACGGGGGTGAGTTTGAACTGTCTGTAGGAAGGTCAAGTGGAGATGACCAGTAGACAGTCTGAGCTCAGGAGAGCGGTCAGCCTGAGATGGAGGCTGGGGAGTGGCCGGCACAGAGGTGGGGGTGTAAGCTGGTGGCCGAGCACACTCGGCTCCTGGCCAGGCACTGGTGGCAGGTCCCCAGCCTTCCTTTTCCACCAGGCCTTGCAGAGCAGAACCAGAGCTCAAAGAAGGCAGCAGAGGGAACATTGAAGCTGCGGGTTTCGATGCACTAAGCTATGTAGGAGCTACTTATCCAACGTCTCAGGCTGATTTATTTCTCACGGTAGCCATTTAAGATTATGGAAAAAAAAACAAAAAAGGCAAAGTAGACTCATATCCGACCTCGGTGCATAAAGACAAGCTTTTTTGGCAACCGTTTTATGAGTGAGTTTTAGGCCGAAGTTCTTCCTTCTGATAGTCATTCCAAATGCTGTATTTTGCTGCACCAGGGCACAACTGTGTCAGACAGACCTCGATCATTTAGCATTTTTCACCAGCCGAAAAGTCACACTCATAGCGGCTCTGTGTTCTTCAGGCATTAAAGTTCCACTAAAGTTCCACTTGGAGCCTCCTGCTCCCCGCCGACCACAGTGGAGCCCAGACTGGCCACAGGAGCCCATGGTGCGCAGGTAGAAATACGGTGACCCTGCTCGAGGCCAGGCTAGGAAAACCCGGCCCCTCTCTGCCCCGAATCCCGAGGGAGGGAGGGAGGATCAGAAATGCAGGCCCCTCCTCCTCCCACAGACATCGCCAGAGCCCTTCCCCTCACCTCGCCTCTCTCCTGGCATCCCTGCCTGGCTGAAATAGCTAAAATTAAGTCGTGAGACTTTAAGAAAACGTCACCGTGAGGGGGCAACTGACGACCATCAACTTTAAGTTATTGGCGCCGACTAATCTATCACTCCTTTGACCCGCATCAGCATTACGTACGCACCTGCAAGGCTTTGCAGGCCCTCGGATTCCTGAAACGGACCTCGCACGTCACAGAGTTGCGTCCACCCCTCCCTAGTGTCCTCTTTCTAAGGAAAACGTGGGATGTCTAAGTGGAAACGACCTGTGGAAATAAATTCGGCCCCACTAGCATGTTATACAGAAACATTTTTATTTCAGTCAACTCCTGTACACCCATTATCAAGTGAAAACCTAAGAGACTCACGTTAATTCGCTTCCATTTCTGTCTCTACCGACTTTTACGGTAATGGGTACAGGACTTTTTTGTCTGAAGGTCACATTTGCAGAGTTGACAACCTCTAAAAACGCATACACCCACTTGCTACCCGTTTCTGCCTTCCAAAAATCAATTCACAGGATTACAGGTGAAATCGATGGCAATTAGGGATTGTTTCAAAATTATACAAAAATTACTGCAAAAAATTAAAATGTAGACTTTTCAAAAATTTAGATGATTGATGCTTCTACTATGTGCCACCATACTTTTAAAAAATTGAACAACGAAATGTTTAAAAAGTAAAAAAAAGTTAATTTTAAAAATAGAGAAAAGTTATAGAGAAAAGCAGGCTAGACCATCCAGGTTTGTGTAAGGGCACCCTGTAAGGACATATTTTTAAAGAAAAAATATTTTTTGTACAGCTGTACAATGCGTTTGTGTTTTCAGCTAAGTATTACTACGAAAGTCAAAAAAGTTTTAAATTTTTATTAAGTAAAAAAGTTTTAAGTTTTTATTAAATAAAAAAGTTACAGTAAACTAAGCTTACTTTATTATCGAAGAAAGAAAAAATATTATTGTATAACTTGAGTGTAGCCTAAGTATCCAGTGTGTCTGTCTAGAGCCTACAGTAGTGACGGTCATGTCCTAGGCCTTGACGTTCACTCGCCGCTCACTCACTGACTCGCTCAGAGCAACTTCCGGTCCCTCGTGCCCCATTCGCGGTGAGTGCCCTGTAAGGGTGTATCACTTTTATCTTTTATACTTATTTTAACTGGACCTTTTCTGTGCGGAGACGTTTAGATGCACAAGTACTCACCATTGTGTTGCACCTGCCTCCAGTTTTCAATACAGTAACGGGCCGTCCAGGCTTGTCACCTAGGAGTGAAAGGCTGTCCCAGGGAGCCTGGGCATGTAGCAGGCTGGACCATCCAGGTTTGTGTAAGGGCACCCTGATGTCTGCAGAACGATGAAATCGCCCAATGACACATTTCTCAGAACATTTCCCATTGTTAAGCAGTGGGTGACTGTCGTTGGCTTATGTCACCCGTTGAACGATGTTTGTCATTTCCAGTTTGGACTATGACAAAGGAAATTGCCCGTGAACATGCGTATACAAGTTTTCGTATAAACACATAATGTTCGTTTCCCTGGGGTAAATGTTCAGAGTGCAGTTGACATGCCATATGGCAGTTGCACATTTAGCGGTACGATTTTGCGTCCCTACAGCAATGCAAAAGTGATTGTTTTTCTGCATCCTCACCAGCATTTGGTGGTGTCACTATTTTTATTTTGGCCATTCTAATAGGTGTGTAGCGATCACTTATTGTGGTTTTAATTTGCATTTCTCTAATGGCTAATGATGTTGAAAATCTTAACATGTGCTTATTGGCCGTCTGTATATCTTTTTCAGTGAAATGTCTCCGTATCTTTTGCCCGTGATCTAACTGGATTTTCTCTTTCTACTGCTGATTTTTGAGAATTCCTTACATATTCCAGATACTAGTCATTTGCTGACTCCGTGGTTTGCAAGTATTTTCTCACACTCTGTAGCTGGTCTTTTTATCCTCTTAATGGAGTCGGTCGCAGAGCCACATTTTAATTTTGATGAGGTCCGATTTATTCGTTTTTCCTTTTATGGATCATGCTTTTGATGTCGTCTAATTCTTTGCCTAGCAATTAGATCCTGAGTATTTTGTATTATTTTTTTTTCTAAAGGTTTTGTGTTTTACATTTTAAGTCCATGGTCCAACTCGAACTCATTTTTGTAGCAGGTGCGAGGCTGACGGTGAGGTTTCTGTTTTGCCTGCTGATGTCGGATCCTCCCCTACTGTTGCTTTTGCAACAGTATCAAACATCGGTCTGACACTTTCATGTGGGTCTACTTCTAGATTCTCTGTTTCTGTTGATCAGTGTGTCTATCCCTCTGTGGATACCAGTCTTGATTACTCATAGCTCTAGAATAAGCCTCAGTAACGAGTGATTTCTCCCACTTCATTCTTCTTTTTCAGGGTTGTCTCAGCTATTGTAGAGCCTGTGCCTTTCCATATCAATTTTAGAATAAGCTCGTCTCAGCTACAAAAAAACTTTGTCGAGATTTTGAAAGGAATTGCATTGAACCTTGAGATCAATATGGCGGTGAACTGACATCTTTACTATGTCGAATCTTCCAACCCGCGAACATGGGCTCTCCGTTTATTCGAGTCTTCTTTCACGTCATCCACGTTTTGCAGTTTTCAGCATACAGATCTTGTACATGTTTCCTTAAGTGTATGCCTAAGTATTTTCTTTGCGATGGTTATAACTAGTATTGTTTTTAATATCGGTTTTCACGTTTGTTGTTAGTATAGAAATGCGATTGATTTTTGTTTTGATCTTGCATCCTGTGACCTTGTTGAAATCACTAGTTCCAGTCTTGAGTTTTTTGTTAGTTTGTTTTTAGATTCCTTGGGATTGTCTATGCGGACAACCATGTCTTATGCACATAGGGATGGTTTTGTTGCTTTGCGATTTGTATGCCTTTTGTTTTTCTTGCCTTATTGCAGTAGTACTATATTGAATGAGTGTGAAAGCAGGCATCTTTGCCTTGTTCTTGAATTTGGAGTGCATTCAGCTTTCTGCTGTTAAGCATGACAGAGCTGTCGGTTTTATCACCAATCCTATTACAAAATTAGTTTCGGCTTCTTTTCCTCCACCTATCCTCCCACGCGTGCGCCAGTTTTAAGGAGAAGCTTAAGAGTCAGGGATCGGCCCAACTGCGATGACAGAGCAAAAATAAAGTGCAAAGGAGACTTGGGTACTTCCTCCTCCCGGCGAGGGTTTTAAGGCTGACAAAACCAAGTTCCTTTCGAGAGGTTGGGGCCCCTTTACAGCCCCAGTCAGCGGCTAGAGAACGAATCTCATTATCAGGGCCCCCGCATTCGCGGTGAGCCGAGGGGCCCCTGTCCGTGGGGCAGAAATTGGCTGACACAGAGCAGAGCCCCGCGGAGCGGGGCGCCTGTCCCTCCGCAGACTGCGCAGTTCTTTCAGGCCGCTCTCGGCTGCCAGACCCGCTGCCTGCCAACCTGAGTTGGCGCTAGGAGAGTCTCAGATACCCAGATCCAGGGCGACAGAGTGGCCAGAGCCAGATTTAGATTTGTGTGAGCTTTTGGCAGCGGCTCACCCAAAGAAGGGAATCGGCTGTGAAGAGAGGAAGCGAGTTGCGTGGCTGGGTGAAACCGACGGCCACACGGTGCACGTCCGATGCGTGTAACCCACGGAACGAGCTTTTTTAATAGGGGGAGGGAATGGTCAGTTTAATCTGAAATTTAAAAAAAAAAAAAAAAAAGCAGGCTGTCTCCGACTCGTCCTGCGGTGCCACCGCCTCCGGGGTCCCG